GTTGACCAATTCCCGACCTCATCAGAAATGTGTAAGATTTCTAACTTGTCTATTCACTGCAAGGAATTACTTTCATTCCATAGATATTTGAAGATATCCCAATTTTTGATTACTTAGGATCCGATTTAGGGGATTTGACACTGACAGAAAAGTATAGTATTTTTCTTTATAGGGAAACCCTGTGGATAGACCCAGCAATTGCTGCTGATGATAATTTATCATTTCCCACTTTGGTCCGCTTCAGATCTTTAGGGAAATCAAGTCCCAAAATAGAATTCCCAGCCAGTGTGTCCGATGGTTTTAACTCTGTCAGGTGTAAACTTCTTCTAATATGTATGTAAGGCATAAAATTTGGAAAAACTGGCTTACGCTGTCTATGACCAGTAGAAGTATAATCTGTATGGAGGTATGCATAACTGGCATTTTCCAACCCTCAATTCTCTGTTTAAATCTTTACAGATTTACAAAAACTATTGTAGAGAATGATATATTTCCAGCTGGTCCAGGTCAGAATGTATTTTGTTTTCAGGAGCTGAAACAGGCAAAAGAAAATAGCATTGGAAAAGACACCAGATAGGTCTAACAGCTTCTTATGTGCTTATGCTACGTAAATAGACAGATGTACTGTCAGGAATGAAATGGAGGATGAATCCAATCCCAGTGCAGTTGTGCTGATAATATTTTGAGTTGGAATCTTCTCATGTTATCACTGTATCATGCAAGCTAAAAATCTTTTTTAATTGTTGTTAGTCCTACCATTGTAATTGTGATATAAGATTGTGTACATGCCAGTTTATTAGGTTTTCTGTTTGCTAAAGGTAAAATAAACATTCCATTTTTTCTCCCCCCCCCCACTTTTTTTCTCATTAAGCACAGAAGACTATTGTCTAAGCATTTTCTGTCAAAAGCATATCAGCCCTTAGAGAGTTAAAGAAAGGAAGAGCATTTTAATTGTTTGCCCTAACATTTTATGCATCAGTAGAAAAACAGTTTACACATTATAGCTCAGCTGTTCCTTTAAATCAGATGAAAATAATCTAAGGACCTCTTTTATTCCATATAGACTAAAGTGTGTTCAGAAATAGAAAACTAAGTTTAAAAGACTAAAGCCATCTTTAGAGTACAAAATACTTTGTGCTAAAGAATGAGCAGATGTAGGAAAGTAAATACCAGAGAGTGTGCCCCAGTGAAGAGCAAGTGGTTGAAAAGGATGTGGTTAGTATCTTCCATTTTGCCTCCATAGAAGAAAATGAGGACTTAATGAAACATGAAACAGTTGATTTACCTGATGACTCTGGAGCTCGACTTTTGTTAAATGATCCTTTCCTGCCTTGAGAGTAATGTGTTGTGAATCTCTTTCCCATTGATCTATTCCCAGATAGGGAAAGCATGGAAGCATTTGAAGATAAAAACAAAAGCATAATGTAATTAAAAAAAAATCTTTCAGAGGATTACAGATCTCAAGGGCATAAGACGGGTTTTCCTATGGCTTTGCTGTTGAAAGGTTGACATGAGAGCATGGTTAAAAGGAGGACATTATGTCTGCCTCAGGGTCTCATACAAAGTTCAGGGCAATGTGAGCTAAATTTTGCTTATATAAAAAAAAATATGTAGCAAAGCAGAACAGTCTCTTCTCTTTATCTTTAGAGCCCCCAAAATCCAAGCTAGCTGACATTGACTTGCTACAAAAGTTAAAAGTCAAGTTTGTTGATAGCTTAGCAGCTCAAAACAGAAAGAAATTTGCTGAGCTTTGGGAATGAAACCAGGGCTCGACTGTGGCTGCAACAGAAGAACGTGGGGGAACACTGAGTGTAGCTGAATTGATACACTGCAGATGGGTTGTGCTATTTTTAAATTCTTCCTTCCCCCATCCTTATTTGATCTGCATGTGAAAACCTAACACAACACAAGAGAGAAGTTACAGCTGTGCACACTGTTTGTTTTACCAGCCAGTAGTCATGAAAGAAATTATAGTTTTGACATTTTTGAAATTGCCTACCATGCCCTTCCTTTGTTTTAATGTAACAATCATTCTAGAAAAAAGTTTTATCAAGTTGCCAACTATTTTGTAAATACTGTATTTACAAACAAACAGTATCTGTATAAATATTTAAGATCATAAGTAGGCCAACATTATTCAAATTTTTATTTTTATAACCTTTTTTAAAATTACAAAATAATGATTTAACTCTTCTTAGAGCAAAGTGTGTGCATGTGTGAATTTGAAATTTATTTGTATTTGGGGCTTTTAAAACTTATCAGCTGTTCAATTTCTCACAATCCCTTGGATAAATATTCTTAACTATTTATGTCACCCAGTATTTCTAGTTCTTCTTTCCTACCTATGCACAAAGAATTATGTAGCTTTTGAGAAATGTATTACATAAGAAACCATTTTAAAGTGCTTTGCCTTTCAAACTGTAACTTCTGGCTTAACTACACATGTTCACTCTGTCCTACAGAATAACCTCAGCCAACAACTAACTGCTTAAGAAGTTGCTAGTTCTGGTCTAACATGTGAAACAACTCAACTAGATTTGAACAATAGGTATATAAATAGTACAGGACAGTATTTTCTTTTCATGATAATGGATCATTAGATGTCAGTATGATGGATCCTCTTCCAGAGGCATGCATGGAGGTTAGGGGTGTCACAAAGTAAAAATGGTGGCTGCTTCAACTACGTGGTGCATGTAAAAAACAAGGCAGAGCTTGATCATATGATTGCAGATACCACTTGACTTCTTTGACTCCCCCTACGGATGGCCCTGTCCTTTTCTCCATTTCAGTTGTGGGCACATTTCAGATTCAGTGTAGCCTCTGAGAGGGCTGAAGGAATTTGTCTTTAGAATGTAAACTTGGAGAATACTAAAACTAACTTTACTGAAACTATAATTGTTTATTTAGACAAAAGCAAAAGGACAAGAGGGGAGGGAGTCTAGATGCTGCTTTTTAATTAAAACATTGATTTCCTATACCTGTGAATAAGACCCATTGAACTTACATCGAGGAGGAGATATGCATAGGATTCAACCCTCTGAACAGGGACAGTAGAAATATATTTGTAAAAAAGCAATTTCAAGGCTAATTAGCTCAAGATATAAATAAGCATAGAGACTGCCATGACTGTCTATAAACATCACCTGGCATACTTGCCTTCATTATTGAACATTACCTAATTTAGAGCATTGGCACATAAATCATGAGCCATAAATTTAACATCCACCATTTTATTTATGGAGAATCCTTAAAGTTATGCATTGGTTACAGCAGCCAAGTAGAGATTTGTCGGTGCAAATAGGAACACACTTCTGAAATGACAGTTCATTCTGTCCTTCCACAAAGAAGAAAAATATAGATTAAGGCTATGCAAAATCTCAGACTGAACAATTACTTCAAATCTCTAAGTCACTTCAGCACATCATAATTTAGTAAGGTGCCTTCAAATTGCTGCAGAGAAATTTGAAAAGTTTCATAGATATCCAAAAATTCTGTAGACTTCCTGGCTTTGTGGTCACTTTTTTGGGGGGAGGAGATCAACCTTTCTTCATACAAAGTTTTGGTTGTGTAGGGTTAAACAGTGTAATGGGCTCTTTGATATTGACTTGAATAGCCAACCACTGAGTTTAACTACTTCTGCAAATTCTGCCTGTTGGAGTGCCTGAGGAAATGCTGCTTATAAGTTGCTTTGATTTGGACCCAGAATCAAATCACTGATCTCCTGTCTTAGCTTGGTTCCTCATTTGGACTAGTCAGAAATTTCACAGACATAATATGGCTAGATAAGTATATTTATTACAGGAAAGACTGAAGGTACTAACAATGAGAGGGTGCAAAAGACTCATTCCTTCATGCCATGTGGATTGCTTTGTGCTACCATAGACAATGGTCCAATAAATTTGGCATTCAGCTCCTTAGATAGTCATGTGGAAGAAAGAAATCTGGTAGAAAGTAAGCTGTGATCTCTTTCATTAATGAGGTGCCTTTCTGATGATATCAGTCATCAGTCAAAGAGCTTATTAAAGGCCTTGGTGTGATCTAGTTGATCCTTCAGGAAAAAATGGGAAGAAGATGGAATTGAGAAGGACTGGGAGGACATATAGTAGTTGTAGATGGCCTGAAATGGTAGCAACTGAGTGGAAACGTGAACTGAGTTATTATATATGAACTTGGTCATGAGTAAAAAATCAGGCTGTCTTGCTGGTAGTTAACATTGCACAGAAGATATTGTAGTAATGTAGAATTTCTTCTTTATGTTTATCCAGCTAACTCTATATGATAGGCAGGAACAGGTGGGCCTTCACATCCAGTAGCTGAAATAGGGTTTTTCAACAATGTGCTGTGAACTGTAGGCTCTGCCAGTATATATAGGACTGTTATATAATAAGACTCCAAATAGCCTTCTCACATACACACAAATAGTCTTGCATTCTTCATTCCTAATGAAAGGTGGGGGGTTGTCTTTGCAGCCTCGCTAGAAGGACACCATTAGCTCGAAGTGAGAGGGACACATACGCAGGAAACCTTGAGGGTATTCAGGAAAGGGTCTACAGTTAAACCGGTTCAAACTGCCTTGTGTACCTTGAGGGCATTCTGGAAAGAGTCTACAGCTAAACCGGTTCAAACTGCAGTTCAAATTGAGCTTACATTTCCATTGGCGTGGCACACCCTGGCATACCTGCTGCCTGTGCTTTGGGCTGCTGACCACCCAGCTTCCTTTTACTCGGACAAATAAAGAGCTGTTTCTTTCTAAGAGCCTCCTCCTGAATTCTTGGCATTGGATTTCTCGACCACCCAGCTTCCTTTTACTCGGACAAATAAAGAGCTGTTTCTTTCTAAGAGCCTCCTCCTGAATTCTTGGCATTGGATTTCTCGACCACCCAGCTTCCTTTTACTCGGACAAATAAAGAGCTGTTTCTTTCTAAGAGCCTCCTCCTGAATTCTTGGCATTGGATTTCTCTGGGATTCAGGGTTGCAAACCTTACATTTTCTGGTGCCCAATGTGGGGCTTGAAGGCGTCGTTCCTTCGAGATAGCTCACTCCGGGCTCCTCACGAACGAGCTCCCTTGCAGCTCGGTGGCCTTCGGTGCGGCTTCCAGGCGAAACCGGCGCGGACCAGTGATGTCGTTAAAGACGGCTCCTGGATATTTTTTTTTCCAGTGACCTTGCGCTGATCTGCGGCCAGCAGACCCTGCTGTAAGCCAGACCTGAATGTCCATTTCGGAGGCTCTCTTCTGGTACCAGGGACTAATCAAGTCAAGGAAAAATGTAAGTAGGAAAATCGGGGTTCTGGAATGGGCGGTTTGGGAACTGCTGTGTGCAAGTTTGTGTGAGACGCGGAAAATTTTCATTAGGAATTTGTCCGTGAAGCGAGTAAGGAGGTCCGATCCGCAGTTCCGTCACCCCACGAGGGGAACAGCCGGAGACCACCGAAGCGAAAGAGAGTAAGTGATAAGAGGCATGGAAAACTGGTGAGGTAGGTTCTTCCAAAAAGGAGAGGGTGCTTGGCCACACCCCAAACCGAAGGAAAGGTCCAAGAAATCTCCTAGGAAGTCAGACCTGTAGATTCCAGTGTCCTGGACCACCCCCCTCGAACGATCCCTTAAACAGCCAGCGTCGGCTGGTGGGAGGTGAGGGTTG